TCTAGTTCCACGTGTCATGTCCAATGGATGTCAGTTATCAGTTATCTCCAGATAATTCACCTCCCCAATTTCTCGACTGCCTTAACCAGGTACTGAACTCACACTGTCACTGGATATAACCAATGCTTTTATCCACTGTGCCATGTGTTCTTAAGGACATCTGTATATGAATTTCTGGGACTTATAAAATGTCTTCAGCAACCATTTTTACCAGTGCTCATATAGCAATTTTTGCTGTTATCATTTTATGTTTTTACCAGAGCCCATATTGCAATTTTCATTGTTATTATTGTTTTTCTCTGGCACTCTTCATTACTGGTTCCCATATTGTATTCATTTCTATGCTTGGTCAGCTCAGGAGATTTTTGTAGCCTAGCATATGTGCTGATTCCTTAAGTTTATGAATTTTCCAATGATGTTCTTTTTCTGATTTCAACCTGATCCCACAGAGAGCGGTGATCTTCCTTTTCTCTCCATATGTGGTCAGCCACACTTGATTTTTCCACTTCCCCTCATTTTACAGCTTTCTGGTGTTCTTGAAGCCTTACCTTAAGGGGGTGGCGGCCTGTCTCCTCTGGGGGGGGGTACTCAGAAGAGGTATCTGCGAAGTGTCATCCAGCTTTTGAAGGTTGTCCTGATGTTATATGGGCTGCAGATCCTTTGTATTTTCTCTGATAACCCCTTCACATAAGGCAGGCAGACTGTTTTCTGAGTATTGTTGTCCTCCTCTTGTACCTGCTTATCCCAGTTTATTGGGGCTGCTGCCATGTACCCAGGGTAGTTGTTAGAAATGAATACAATATGGGAACCAGTAATAAGGAGTGCCAGAGAAAAGCAATAATAATAACTGACATCCATTAGACATGGCACATGGAACTAGAACAGTCTACTCCAGCGAGTAAAATAAAGGGTTCAGTTTGACATTCCAACCACCTGAAGAAGGCCAAAGTGTACAACAGCCAAAATGTTGTGATAAATATGACAACAAAGATGGGGACAATAATGTCAATATTAGAAATATAGAGAGCTCTTAAAAAAGACCTTGTGTCACAACTTGTCTTAGTGGGGAGGCAGAGTAAATACCCTCATGAGTGATTTGTAATACATTATTTATCATCTCTCAGTTGTCATGTCTTTGGGCAGAGATGCCTCTGTCAAAGGACAGAGCCGCAACTGAGGAAAATTATACTGGGGAACAGCTGCCCAAGGCTGCACCCTCTCATTGCACCAGAGGGAGGGATCAGTGCTTGCATTGAGGCCAGCGTTTGCAGGGGCTGCAGGCAATATTTGTTCCTTACCCAGTTGTATGTGCTTCCCCACCTTAAAATGAAATCTTAGTGGGGAGACAGAGTAAATACCTAGTGTGTAAACCAATCTCATGAGCGGTATATACATTCTGATATTGCTGGGGCACAGGGATCTATCCTGGTGCTGGTAGTATAACAGCTATGACTAGTTTGGACCCGTTCTGACCAGCTTGGACCAGCTATGACTAGCTAAGACCAGCAGCCCAAGTGAAGAAACTTGGGTCCCCACATTAAAAACTGACCTTATGTCAGAACCTGACTCAATGGGGGGGGGTCAAGTAAATCAACCACTCTTGAGTGGTTTGTGACATATCTATTTATCATCTCTCAGTTGTGTCTCTGTTCTTTGATGGAGTCGCCTCTGAGTACACTTTGTCAAAAGGCAAAGTCACAACTGGGGAAAATTATACTGAGAGGTGCTCAGCCTGGGGAACAGCTGCCCAAGACTGCACCCTCTCATTGCACTAGAGAGAGGGATTGGTGCTTGCACTGAGGCCAGCATAATTGACAGTTGCAGGGGCTCAGGCTGGACGTGCTTGGGCTCCCACATTGAACCAACCTGTTCTTCGATGGACCCACCCCTGAGTACACTAAGAGATGATAAATAGGGTATTACAAATTACTTTAGAGTAATTTGTATTTACTCAACCCCACACAAGGTCAGGTTATGACAATTATTTTTATTTCATGGGTGGCAGAACAGAGTCATAATTAAAGAAAATCATACTGAGAGGTGTCTAGCCCTGGGAAATGACAGACTGAGGCCACACCCTCTCATTGAGAGAGGGATTGGTGCTCACACCAAGCCCAGTGCAACCAATGGTTGCAAGGGTTCGGGGAATTTTTTTCCTAGCCTGGGTGTATGCACTCAGGCTACCCACATTAACCCAACCTTATGTCATAACCTTACTCTGTGCGCGTTGATCAAGTAAATACCTACTATAAAGTAGAGCTGGGGCTTTTTAATCTCAGAATTTGTAGGAGAATTGAGCTCCAATTTCACATTTATTCATATATATTCCATAATATGGGTTTTACTTAATTAGCTATTATGTTTCTCTAACTCTCCCAATGTTGAATGTATTCTAACTTCTATTTTCCCATCTTTACACTATATTAATTTTATCTTATAAACTATCCCCTGTTCTGCCACCCATGAAATAAAAATAATTGTTTGTATGGAAAATAAGGATCTACGTATATCAAATCGTTTTTAAATTAAGTGGCAGCAGAAGAATTATTGTTGAACTTTTAAAAGGTAAGCTTAAACATTAATTCAATACTTAAATGCAGTTATCAATTTTGAGTTGTTCTGTAGTTTATTGATGCCTATCGTATTTACTCCTCCCTAATTATTGTAATAATGGCCAATCCAAGAGTCCTCCACAGGAGCTAGCTTAAATACTGCCTGATAGGGTGGCTTTAAAGCTAGCTTAAAAATTTAAACTAGCTGCAATTTTGGATAAAAATGGATTATAAGAGTTACTCCCTTGAACTATGAAAGGAATGATAATGGCTAGTATAATATAGTAATATATATTTTTAACCATGCATAATCTAGCAACCCTGAATCTGAGCTCAACAAAAATTCTTCCCTGTGCCTAACATTTCTAGGGTTTTGAATGAGCTATGAATCATTTAGATCAGAACAGTGTGAGCCGAGGAGTTGCTTGGACACACACATGCACAAACACATACACTGTACTTTATATATAAGATATTGGCAGAAACAACCTCAAGTAACCCATATTAAAAATATATCAAAAAACAATCACTTAAATAATTAAGAAACTATTAAGGTAAGGCTTCAAGAACACCAGAAAGCTGTATCAATTGTCAGAGAAAGCTGCTTTGGAAATTGGTTGCAGGATGATCCAGGTGCTATAATGAGTTACTGCACTTTCCTAAGCTAGAAGGGATTGTATAGGATACTAGGCATTTATCCAGTGACTTATTTAAAACTGTATTGACATGTACTAATATGTATTATTTCACCATTTTAGAACCACATAAATAGCATTCAATTTATCATAACAAGATTTTGGACATTACATGAAGTTAATGAATGTCAGATATGAAGAAGTAGCTGTATTTAGAGATGAAGTTGAAAGCAAATATGCACACAATAAATGTAAAATATCAAATAAAAACAAGTGTACATCCTATTTACAGAAAGTAACTAAAAAAATGATTAAATATTTTAAATAAAAAAAATTTCAACAATGTTTGGAATACCTAATTAAATGTATACATTGAAAAACATATCAAGATTTATTATCTATATTGACAGAAGTATCTAAGATTTGAGAAACCTCAAGTAACTAATATTAAAAATATATCAAAAAACAATCACTTAAATAATTAAGAAACTATTGCTGATGCTAATATCAATTGTCCGAGAAAGCTGCTTTGAAAATTGGTTGCAGGATGATCCAGGTTTAAATAAAGGAATGATGCTTTATGTTGGAAGACGCAAATTTGATATAAAAAAAGTTACTAGTATTTTTATGGACACTTTACAGTTGGTAGCTGAAGATAATGCTTTCCCAATTCTATAGGAGAATGGACATCAAATTGCAAATATCTGTCACTGTCAAACCAGTCAAAGAATGTCTTAATTTGCAATCTGTGACTATGAAGAGAAATGATCTGAAATATCCATACAAATTAAATTCATAACTTCCATGTTAAAAAAATTCTATTAAAATTACTATAAATAATGATTATTACTAAATTCCTTTATTTCTTGAGTATTTAAGCATTATTTAATAACATTTGCAAACATGGAAAAATAACACAAAATTTATCAAATCTTTTTAAATTTTATTAAATTAAAAAATCTTACCATGAAAATTTTTCTATTTACATACTAAAATGCTACAATATAGTTAAAAAAAAAGAAAAAACAGAAAAGCAATATTTTACAGTTTTATATTTTGTGATTTTGACTCCTGTGATTAAAACTAAATTAAATCAATTTTAATTCTTAAATCAATTTTCAGAAACATTTAAACTTAAGTGGTATTTTATTAAGGGTATAGTATTCAAACCTTTTTAATAAATCAATTTCAGTAATCAATGTAAGTGTATTAGATGTTTTACTTCTATTTTTAATAGTTTTCATACTTCCATTTTTAAATAAGTGGAAAAGAAATGTTCAAACCCAAATTACTGGCATTGTTTGCAAATATTTACTGCAGAATAGGCATTCACTTATCTTGATTATTGTGCACACACTGATGCAAACAATGCCAACAATGGCTGCCCTGCTGTAGCCAACAACGACATGAAGGAGTCCGAACTTTTATTATCGATAACTCTAAAATAGATTTTATAAAAATTTCTTTGTCATTTTTGAATTAGGCATATGAATTTGGAATAAAAAATAACTGTTTGGGAAATTTTTATTAGATACTTAGCACAGGACTTAAAAAGCAAATTACCCAAAATTTCTATGGAATTATTGGCATAAATTAGTATAATTTTGAGGTTCTTTTCAAGCCATTATCTATGGTATATATCATGAAATAGGGCAAATATGGTCCCCCCAAATCAGGTAGGTGTTCAACCTCTTATTATCAACCACTCCTCCCAGCTACTGCAATTCACTTGCAGTGCAGGTTAATTATCATGGACACCAAGGACTGTGCTATAGCGTTGGACTACTGTATATGAATTCTCTTACTAACTCACCTTCAACTTTTGTGAATTTTCATTATACATAAACAAGGCAGCTGGGGCAATTCGCATCCCTCCTCCATTTCCATAAGAACCTGCTCCATTAAACTGCTGCCTGGCTGGCAGAAAAACATCTTCCAAGTGTTTTGAAGACCAATCAGAAAATATTTTGGTGACATGTCTACCATAATTCCGATGACTTTTACTAGCAAAGTATTCCTTTGCAAATCTGTCAAAAGAAAAAACATTTCTTAACTGATTATCTAATGAGCCAAAATATATTACCAAAAATATTCTATACATAGGATTTAAATTCTAAAATAATATTATGATAAAACCTTAACTACTATTATAGATCTATAAACCAAAATGTACAAATTTAAAAAAAAAATTATTTGGTTACTTTTATTAAAAATATTTCAAGTATTCAAAACTTTAAATGATAAGAGAATGTATCAAAAGTTATAGCAGATGTGAAAATAACTATCCATGATGCCATATCAGTTGAAGTGACAAATGGTTATTCAGGGTGAACAGAGACTAAGTAGCTCATGGCAAAGCAACCATTTCTGAAATACTTTTAATATTTGGTATCCCTTGATCTACAGTGTCACCTGTGCACTGAGGATATGTGATAGAAGACATTACTGTCCATTGTGGAGAGCACAGTGGCTAACCACAGGTTCATAAATATCATGACCATCTATCTAGTTATGTTTGTGGTAACAGACAAGCAATATTGGCTCAAATCACATCTACATTCAGTGCAGGACATACCAGATGCATATCCATCAGGTCAGTTCAGTGCTTTTTAGCTTTCATGGAATATGAAAGCAGATATCCCACCAGGGTTATCTGAGCTTGTGATTTTGCTAATTGAATCCTGGTTGACTGGCAAATGTTTGGTAAGGTCCAATAAGTAATAGTTCCAGTTGTTTCAGAATCATTGTAGGATTTAGTTGTGGAACAGACAACCCCAAATGTCAACAAGCCAACAAGCTAGTAATGATTCCATAATGGTGTGCAGTGTATTTGTAGCATGGATTGGGTTTGCCAACATTGACCAATTAATTTAAATGCAATGTCAATTGTTATCTTCTATCTTCTTAATTCCTGTTCTTTCATTGTCCTCTCTCTCATACTCAGTAACCCTTTATGTCTTATTGACATTTCCTTGCTTGGAGTGAAATGATATGTTTAAAAAAAGAAAGAAAAAGTCACCATTAATTGCACTGCTTTATCACTATTTTCACACATTCATGAACACCATGTACGATGATAAGTTTTACCAGAAAGACGATACACCATGTTATCATGTTCAAATTGCTTGATTTGATTTGAGGAGCATTCTTGAAGATTTCTGATGAATGGTACTGCCACCATATTGAACTGACACAAATCTAACTGAACATTTATGAAAGATGGTTGAAAACTCTATTCACACAGAATGTACTGAACCTGTACATATAAAGAAGCTGTAGACAGCTATCAAGATGACATTGATTGACGTCTCTCCAAAGCTTTTCTGACTATTTCTGGAATCAATGTCATAAGTTGTTGCATTTCACTAGAGGAGTTCATATATGATACTAGGCAACTATTCCTTGACTTTTTTACAACACACACACACACACAATAATAATAATAATAATAATAATAATAATAATAATGATGAAGACTGCCATCATGACAATTTTTTTCTATCTTCTGCTTTGTTATGTTTTCATAATTGTATTCTCTTATCTTAAAATAAGTGCTAATGCCATTTTTCGATAAGCTTTTAGAAAATAAGTACATCTGATAAAATATAATTCAAATAAAACAAACCTACTTATATACTTATTTTTTACTATTTCCTAGATCCTTACCGTTTGGCCATGTCTTGTGCATCAAACCCTTTATGTTTAAGAAGGGAGGCTTCAACACTCAGCCGCATTTCAGTGTCATCTGTATAATGGAGTATTTTGGCATTCTTCTTGCTTTTCTCTACAATAGAAAATAATTAATCATGAATTATTAGTAGCATAAGTTGTCAAAAATGGATAATTTACCATTTCTCACTTTTTACAAGGAAATAATGAGTAGACGTCAATATTTTCCCCATAAATACAAGATTTAATAATAAAGTAATTAGAAATAAGTACTTAGAAGTGAATGAGGTGAATAGCATGATCTGGAACAGAAAGGGAAATCTAGCTGTGGGTTTATATCATAAAGGTGCAAAAATCTCTAATAAGATCTGGCAATCAGGTGAATGGTCAACAACATTCCCAGTCACTTGATTATTGCTCTTCTCCCACCAAAAAGTCAATCACCACCAATGTCTACAGGGCTAACAGTAAGAGTGATTCATTACACAAGTAATGTGATGGTGAAAATAATACTAAATAGACTAATGCCACAACCAGAATCACCACTTAAGAACAGATATTCAATCTCTGGGTTCTGTGCAAAGAATACTCACAATACCAACAAAACCTGACATAGCCATAGAGTTAAAAAAAAAGTTATTAACAGAGTTTTGTGAAAGGCATTGAGGACAACAATTAACAAATATAACATGGCTGAGAAGTTGATCAATGCCAAGCATGTCAAACTCAGGTCACATGGAGGGCTGCATCGGCAATATCTGCAGCCTAAAGTCTTACATTAATCACAGTTAGTGGTAACTAAACTTTAAATACAAAATACTTACAATACAAGGTAGTACAATTTAATCATTTTTATGTTGTCTTGATGACTGACATTGCTTTAGACAAACTATTCTTGATATATCAGGTTGGAATGTCTGTGTAGATTCCACTTTCATCAAAGATGACAAATGTTCATCAGTTAATCTGGTTCTGTGAGACATTTTTGTTGCCTTCATAAACGAAAATAACTGCTCACAGACATGTGGAACCCAAAATTGCCATAATCTTTGTGGCAAACTTTCAGAAGTTCTTAAATGTCTAAGGAAGGTATGAAAGTCCAGGTACCCCTACTTCTGGGTACTTTCCCTTGAGTGTTGAATCAGTCTTCATTTCCAGTAGATCCATCCCTAGACTTTCCTCTGCCTGAGCAACATCAAAAGTGAATGGTGCTGAAAATAATGCAAACTGATCTTCACAAGATAAAAATCACAAAATCTTTGCTGAAATTTCTTTGATAGCAATTCCAGGTAATTGTCGTACTTAGCAAAGATACTTTACTTCAATAAAGCTAATTTTTCAATGAAACACTTGATATCATCATATAACTGAGTGATGAGCATATTTTTACCTTGTAATTTCAAATTAAGGTCACTTAATTGGGCAGTAAAAAGCTAGATCTTGAAGCCAGCTTTCATCTTTCAATTAATCTGTGCTTTGACCTTTCATCTCCAAAAACAAAATTTTGTGTCACAATATAAAAGATCTTTTCAGTACCTTGTGACATGAACGCCACCAAACTTCTGTGTAGAATGGGATATTTGTTAACTGATTATTCATCTTCCAATTATTGGCTAAACTGATGGTGATGCAGATCACAACCTCTAATATTGTTCACTGTTTTTGTGACAAAACTCAACACATGATCTAATTTTAAAATCTTAGAACATAAGTTCTGTTGATGAATTATACAGTGAGAATGCTTGACTGTTGAATCTGGATATATGTTTTCTATTTTTGTACCTAACTTGGCAGCAACACCATTATGTCTCCCAACCATATTGGCAGCACCATCAGTAGATAAACACACAAGTTTACTCAAATCAAGGCCATAATCATGGAGAAGCTGTTCCACTTTCTCAAAAATGTCCTGGCTTGTTGTAGTATCATGCATTGGGACCAGTTCAATTAGTTCTTAATAAATTTTAAATTCATTACCACAAGTCCTGATGTTAGCAAGCTGTGCTATTCCAGCTATGTCAACAGTCTCATCCAGAGCAATAAAAAAAATGTTAAAAATTTGATGATAAAGTCTTCAACTGTCAACTCAAATCATCTGCCATTTCATCAATCTTTTCAGCAACAGTGTTCCTGCTTAATGAAATGTCTTGAAATAAGTGTGACTTCTCTGGACATACAATTTCGGCTGTTTTTACAAGACATCTCTTTGTGAAATCTCCTTCATTGTAAGATTTTCCATTGATAGCAATCATTTTGCAGAGCTCAAAGCTTGCAGTAACAGAACTAACGTTGCCTTTCTGAATTTTTGTAAAGCAACTGTTGCTGTGTTAACCTTGAATTCCTTCACATTTATCATAAGATTGATGGTTTGTTTCCTAATGTCTTTTCACATTGTTTTCTTTTGATGTCACAATGCAGTGGTTGCACATCAAACAGTTTATCTTTCCATTAACAGTGATACAAAAGTACTGTAATTCGCACTTTTCTTGAAACATACATCCTACTTCAGATAGTTTTCTCTTTTTACAAGAAAAAATTTGTGAATTTTTATATCATTAACTTTACTAATTTACTTTTCGTATGAATGATTCATTGTTAATTAAATTGAACTGCACCACTCCTACAACAAAAAAATTCTCAAATTGCCATATTAGTAAAAAACACACTCCCTTAAATTTTCAAAACAGTTCAACCTTAGCGTTGCAACAAAAGTTTGTATCCGTTATCAATAAAACATTAAAAAAAAACATATTTCAATTCGCATTATATTTCTAATCTCAGATGCTACCTGAATTTTACAAAAAACAAAATAATTTCCATGCCTGAAGATGGCTGAATGTAAAGTCGAAAGTACTTGCATATTTAAGAAAGACTTTATACAGCAAAAAACAAGGATCATAACATTCATCGAGTGATTGGTAGATTAATGCACCTTTAAAATTTTGTTAGCGAAAGGATTTCACTATTTTATATCATAAATTTTACTAATTTACTTTTTGTATGAGTGATTCATTGTAATATATGCATACAAATACACAAACACAGAAAGTTATTAACAAATGTTTAAAATCACTTACTTTCAAATTTCATTTTTTTTGTATTAACATGTATCATATAAGATTGCATGATGCCACAGCTTTTTGCTTTTGCATCAGCCATTATTCACACATGAGTTAGGATAAAAAAGTTTTTTCATTGCCAAATTAGCAGCTAGTGTGATAGTATTTCTGTAGAGAGTAAGGCTTAGAATATGGGCAAAAATTCCTCATCTTTGCCTACACAAAGGACTCAAATTGATGAAGGCTATTCTGAATATAAAATTATTGTAAAAGTAGCTTGTAACAAACAGCTCTGCAGACTTGTCATGAATTTCAAAATTCAAGGATATTTAGTAATTGTTTGAGAGTTGAGTTTAGTCAGAAATCATTGAAGCTGGCTTATAAAATGTCTCTAACTACAGCAATGAAATTTAAGCATCTGGCATTTGCTATGCAATATAAAACATGAAAAACTGAAGACTGGAGCAAAGTTGTTTTCAAATTCAACAGTTCATTATGCATAAAGGAAACATTATAAGAGCTCCTGGTAGCAGATTTGATGAAAGTTATACAATTCAGACTATGCCAGATGATTTCAGATGTCATGTCCAAATCTAGAACACATTCAGGAATAACAATTATGTGGAGTTACTTCAGTAGAAATCGGACTTGCATATGCACATTCATCAGTGCACAATGTTTGTACATGATGGTACTCTATGCCAGTGCATTAAGTTTTTTTTTAAGAGAATCAATGTAATATCACTGGGGACTGGCTGTGAAAAAGCCCACATATGAACCCAACTGAAAATTTATGGGAAACTGTCAAAAGCAAAGATGTAGAAAAACAACTTTCAAGTACTGAAACACTAAGCTATTAAAGAAATCTGGATAAAAGAAATCTCAGTTGACTACTATAACAATTTGAGTCTCATAATGCCCTGCCACATCCAAACAGTAATCACCAGCAAAGATGGCCACACACATATACAGTACTGACCACTGGACTATTTTGCTTGAAATGAATAGAGAACATTGTAATCTACAAATTTGTGAATAAAATTGAGTCAGTCTCTTGCAAATTACTTGTTACTATGTTGTTTTTAACTTTAAAATAGTGAAATTAAAAAGTGTTTTTTAAAATTTTGTTCATGACTCTGAGTGTGTATATATATATATATATATATATATATATATATATATATATATATATATATATATATATATATATATATATATATATATAATACAGAAAATATGCCAAAATTACAAAATTTTATTATGTGTTTTTATGTTCTTAGAACCTTTGCCAAAAGAGTACTTAAGAGATAACTTACTAGATGAACTTTTCTTAATTTATTAAATATTAATTAATATTTAATAAATTAAGAAAAGTTAATTTGTCAAACATATGAGTGCTTTGATGCAAAACCCTTGAGTCAGTCAACCAGATAATCACTTGAACTTTCCTTAGTTTATTGAATAAATATATAAAAAAGAAAAATCAAGAAATATAAGCAAATTGCTGATGCCCTCAGAAGAGTGGATAGACAGGTCCATCTCTGAAACTCTGGAGTCAGGATGCTCATATTGCAATTTTTATTGTTATTATCACTTTTCTCTGAGAACCAGTAATACGCGATAATAACAACAAAAATTGCAATATGAGCTCTGGTAAAAAAATGAAATGATAACAGCAAAAATTGAAATATGAGCATTGTTAAAAAATTGTTGCTGAAGACATTATGTTTATAATACCCAGAAATTCATACACAGATGTCCTCAAGGACACATGGCACAGTGGATAAAGGCGTTAGTTAGATCCAGTGACAGGACCCAGAGTGAGAGTTCAATAAGGTTAAGGCAGTGGAGAACTTGGAGAGGGGAATTAACAGGAGATAACTGATAACTGACATCCATTAAACATGGCACATGGAACTAGAACAGTCTACAATAGTGAGCGAAATAAAGGGTTCAGTTCAACATTCCAACCAGCTGAAGAAGGCCATATAAGACCCTAGAAGAAGGCCATAGAAGATGCTAGAAGCGAAAATCGCACCATAGCTCATGACATCAC